TATTTATTTTAATTTAATTAAATTTTAATTAAGTTTGAATTATTAATATTTAAAGAATGGTAAGAACAAAAGCAGATCGTGTTCCTACAAAAGGTAAGAAAAATTTCTAAAATATATTTTCTTTATTAAGTTATTTCAAAAATTTTTATCTTTTCTTTATTCTTTCATTTTTAATACGATTTAATTGATAATATTTTATTATATTTATTATTATTTTATAAATATTTTATATTTTTATTTATTTAAATTATGATATTATTTTTTATAATTAGTATAATTTGATTAATTGATTTTGTTAATATTTATTATTTATAGCTGTTGGTAGCAAAGCACCACATAAATCTGTAAAAAGTACATCAATCAAAAAAACAAATGGTAAAGGTAAAATCTCTAATTTTATTAAATTAAACATATTTTCAAAAATAAATCATTATTTCAAAAATAACATTTTAATTTCAGGAAAAAGTTATTCAGGTGGTAATCCATATCATCCAAGAGAAACTCCAGAATGGCAAAAACCTATTACATGTTTCCTCAATCAAAATTTTTTGAAAGAATCTACTGATGTTTCAGAAATTCAGGTATATAAAAGAAGTATTGGCATGTAATTTAATGAATGTATTTTTAAACAACAAAACATTAATATATTATTAATATGATAGGATGGTGGTGAAGGGACTAGTAAAGAAGTAGAAAATGAAACGGATTAAAAATATACAATAATGTTATTAACCAATTATAATATCATATTATTATTTTTAATCATTAAAAAAGATTATTTATTTTTCATAAAAGTAATGTAGATAGTTATTTTATATTTTATTTTTAAATAATAAAAAGATTCCTTAATTTTAATTAATTTAAAAGAAATAAATAAAAGATAAAAAGAGCAAATATCTAAGTAACAAAAATAAATATATTTTTTTATTTGACATTTGAAATATTATTAATATATTATAAATAATATTTAAAATTAGAAAAATAATATTGTAATGTATTCAAATAAAATTATTATCAGCAAATATGAAATAAATATTTGTTTTTTATTCTAATAAAATGAATCTTCATTAAATTATTTGTATAAGTTTTTTTTGTATTAAATATTTTATCGAATATATCAATATATTACTAATCAAATAAATGTTATTCTTTAAATTTTGTGAAAAAAATATGGTGAAAAAAATTTAATTTAAGTAAAGTTAAACACGTAAGGAAGAAATCAACCAATCGTGACTATATTCCGATGTTTCATTCCGCGGTTATTATTCTGTTGAGTTTAGGAACGCAATTACCATCAAAATTTTAGCAGTCCAAGTTGCGGTAAAGATTCGCAGTATTGAAATGCTGCCGACAGTGAAATTTCATTAAAATACAGTTTCTGACGCGATTTTTTATCAAATAAATAAAATCGAATTCAGTGTCGTCTGCTTCGACGGAACTTCGTAATTTTTTTTTCTTTTCGTTTCATTATAACGTAGAATATTGAAACGACAACTGTAACCGGCTGTAAAAAAGTTTTCAACCATGGCTAGTGTTTCTTATCAAATTGCAAACCTGCTGGAAAAGGTATGTAATATTTTTTTTTAAATATGTACTAATAATTTTTTCATTTTTTACTTTGAAATAATATTGAAGAATATGTTATACTTGATCTGACAATAATATTAAATTCTACATAACCTCCATTTATTGTTTAAAAAAATATTTAATTATTTTTATAGAAACTTTTTAATAATTTCTAATATAAGTAACAATATTATATTTAATCTTTATTATTGCTTTCAAAATTTTATTTTTATTATGAATTACATACATTATTATGAATTATGTAGACATTCATGAATTCATTGTCAGCAAGAAACAAAGGTGTTTGCATCTGTCACAAAGATATTATAATTTATTATTTTAATTGTTTATGTGAATAATTCGAAATTTTATGCATTTATGATGATTAGTCTTTACATCTAAGTGTTGCGTATTAATAATTTAATAATTTTATTTTCTTTATTAATTATGATGTATATGTATGTGTACGTCGTGCGTGCGCGCGCGCGCGTGCGTGCATGCATGCATATTGCTATATTTTATTGTTATACAAGACATCATTTTTTTTTTATTTCTTCTATAATAATTTTAATTTCAAAATTTTTATTATAATTTTATATTTTATTTTTATATACATATTTTATCATGACTTAGATGACATCCACTGACAAGGATTTTAGATTTATGGCAACTAATGATTTAATGAGTGAACTCCAGAAAGACAATATCAAATTGGATGATGATTCAGAACGTAAAGTTGTAAAAATGCTATTAAAACTATTGGAGGATAAAAATGGAGAAGTACAAAATCTTGCTGTAAAATGGTATAGTAATGTTTAGATTAAAATATACATTTTATTTATTTAAAATTTATAATAATATTATATATTATTTTTGAATATTAACTATATTTTCTAACTATATTTTTCTTTAAAAATTAAATATATATAATTGCTTATATGTTCAAAACGCGTATTATGTTTGCAAGATTTTCTTTGTATTTGGACACGATTACAGAAACGTGTCCGATTTCAGTTTGGGCCCACTAGTCAATAAGGTAAAGGAGTACCAGGTGGAAACTATTGTAGATGCCCTATGTATTAACATGGTATCGGATAAAGAACAATTAAGAGATATTTCTAGTATTGGTTTGAAGACTGTAATATCTGAACTTCCTTTGGGATCCAGTGCACTTGTTGCAAATGTTTGTAAACGAATAACTGGTCGACTAAGTAGTGCTATAGAAAAAGTAATTAATATTTTCAAATTAATAATATATTTTGAAATTATTAGTAAAATTATATATTATAATTGTATATTATATATTATATAATTATATATCATATATATAATTATATTATATAATAATATATCAGTAAAATTGTATATTTAGAAAATTATATTATATATTCATTAAGATAAAAAAAAGAATAATTCTATATTACACAGCAGGAGGATGTATCTGTACAACTTGAGGCACTTGATATTATGGCTGACTTATTGTCTCGTTTTGGTGCTTTATTAATTACGTTTCATTCCACCATTTTGGCTGCATTATTACCGCAACTTTCTTCTCCTCGTCAAGCAGTTCGAAAGCGTACTATAATAGCACTGAGTCATCTTCTAACTTCAAGCAATAATTATTTGTATAATAAACTTGTAGATCATTTACTTGAAGGTCTTTATACACAAACAGCGAAAAATGTAATACGTACTTATATACAATGCATTGCTTCTATTTGGTAAGTATTTTTTATGAGAAATTAGTTTTACTTTTTTATACAATTTTTATTTTTATTATTGAATTTTAGTCGTCAAGCAGGACACAGATTTGGAGAACAAATAGAAAAAGTTATGCCATTAATTGTACAATATAGTAACGAAGATGATGATGAATTGAGAGAATATTGTTTGCAAGCATTTGAATCATTTGTATACAGATGTCCCAAAGAAATCACTCCGCATATAAATAAAGTGAGTATACTTTCATAAATAAATTTAATATCTTGAATTTAATTTAAAATAAAAAATTTTTTTATTAGATTATAGAAATTTGTTTGGTTTATATCACATATGATCCAAATTATAATTATGATGATGATATGAACGATATGTCTGATGGAGAAGATGTTATGATGGAAGTAGAAGAAGATGGAGAAGAAGATGCAGAAGATGAATATTCAGATGATGATGACATGAGCTGGAAAGTTCGCAGAGCAGCTGCAAAATGTCTTGAAGCTGTTGTATCTAGTAGACGGGAACTTCTTCCTGAACTTTATAAGATTGTTTCTCCAGCTTTAATTTTAAGATTTAAAGGTATTTTTTTCAGTAAAATAGTTTAGTAGAAATCCAATATACTTTTAATTCTTGCTAAAGATAGATTACATATATATTTTTATAGAAAGAGAGGAAAATGTAAAATCTGATATTTTTCACGCATACATTGCACTTCTAAGACAAACAAGACCAGCTACCGGGGTGCCTCTTGATCCCGATGCAATGGAAGATGATGATGGACCTATTGCATTGTTACAACAACAAGTTCCATTAATCGTGAAAGCTGTCCATCGTCAAATGAAAGAAAAGAGCATTAAAACCAGACAAGATTGTTTTTCGTTATTAAAAGAATTAGTTCTTGTATTGCCTGGTGCTTTGAGTAATCACATACCAGCGTTAATACCTGGTATACAATATTCTTTGGGAGATAAAAATTCTTCATCAAATATGAAGATCGATACATTGGCATTTGTACATACTTTATTAATAACTCATCAACCAGAAGTCTTTCATGCTCATATGGCAGTCTTAGCGCCTCCAATTATAACAGCTGTGGGAGATCCATTTTATAAAATTACAGCAGAAGCATTGTTGGTATTACAACAACTTGTACAAGTAATCAGACCACATGGTAAGTTATAAAGAAGTTATTTATTAATAAATTTTATTAAAAAAAATTAAAATCTTTTAAATTTTATTTAAAAAAAATTAAAAAAAAAATTACTTAAAAAAAATTTTACTTAAAAAAAATTAAAATTTTATTTTAGATAAAACATGTTATTTTGATTTTACATCATTATCTGGAGAAATATATCGGTGCACATTAATGAGATTGAGAACAGCAGACATTGATCAAGAAGTAAAAGAAAGAGCAATTGCTTGTATGGGTCAAATTCTCGCACATTTCGGAGATACTTTGTTCGATGAATTGCATATATGCCTTCCTATATTTCTGGACAGACTCCGTAATGAAATTACTCGACTTACGACAGTAAAAGCTTTAACATGTATAGCAGCATCTCCTTTAAGAGTAGATCTTAATCAAATTATGGTACATAAATTATAGTTGATAATAAATATTAATAAACACTTTGAAACAATATTCTACTATTTCATTTGTTTAATATTACTTAAAAATGTTATATATTTTTTATAGGATATATAAAATTTTTATTTGTTTAATTTTATTATATTTTTTTATAGGAAGAAGCAATTCCAATTCTTGGATCTTTTCTAAGAAAAAATCAACGAGCTTTAAAATTATGTTCTCTTCCACTTTTGGATACGTTGGTCCGAAATTATAGCTCTACTCTTCATGCAGATTTATTGGATAAGGTAATAAAAAAATATAAAAATAATGATTGGTATTTTTTTAATCGATTAAATGAAATAATTTATTGAAATTATAATGAAATATAGAATTATAATAAATATAAATATAATTATAATGAAATATCTTATTAGGTGACTACAGAATTACCAGCGTTATTAAATGAAACTGATTTACATATTGCGCAATTAACGCTTAATCTCCTCACCACCATAGCAAAATTACATCCAGTCGCTCTCACGCGAGTTTCTGATAATATCCTTCCAGAAATATTAGTTTTAGTAAAATCTCCACTTCTACAAGGTAATATATATTTAATCATTAAAAAAGTATTTACATAATAAAGATATTAATAATCAATTTTGTTTAATGTGTTAGGAGTGGCTTTGAATTCTATGTTGGAATTTTTCCAAGCATTAGTACAAGCAGATATACCAGGTCTTGGTTATAGAGAATTGCTCTCAATGTTATTAGCTCCAGTCAGTCAATCTGTACTTCATAAGCAAGCTTATCATTCTCTTGCAAAATGTGCAGCAGCGTTAACAATCACATGGCATCAAGAAGCTCAAGCGGTGGTAGAACAATTTTTAAAAGATGTTCAAAATCCTCAGAGTGAT